CCCCCCCACAGGAGGAGATTTGATTTGCAGAATCCATCCCGAATGGACCGCAATGTGGAAATGTTTATGGCCATTGAAAAGACGCTGGTACAGGTGAGCCGGGGGGAACCGCTTGTAACTCTTATTTGTGGTCTTATGTTTAATGTACTTTCTAGACCAGGGTTAGCAAACCTCCCGGCCCTCCCAGCTGTGGTGAAAACTACAAATCCCACGATGCATCTCTCTCCGGGGAATCGTGGCTGTGAGGATCTTGCAATGCCTCATGGGATTTGTAGTTCCACCCCCACCGCTGGGAGGGCCTTGAGGTTTGCTACCCCCGTCCTAGATCCTCTCTTCTGTCTCGTTGGGATTCTTGTTTGACGATAAATGGGAGCCGGCTAGAAACATTCCAACTGGAAACCATGGAATCCGTCAGTCGGGGGTAAGGATGGGCTCGGGGAGTGTTCGCTGCCAGCGCCGATCGCAGGTACGGAGACACTTTCCCGGTCCGCAGCTGCAGAGATCGGGAAATGTCTCGGTGCCTGTGATTGGCGCTGTCCTGGCGGGCTCGGCGCGTGGAGCTGCGAACACGCCCGAGCCCATCACTAGTCGGGAGTTCTACAATGTCTTCCCTCATAGGGACTATACACTGAGCCCTATACTTCTGTGCATGGTGGGTGGAGGAGGTTATAGTCTACAAGAGATGGAGCAGTGCTCCTCTTCCAGGAGTTGGGGCTTCTGCTGAAGTGATTTGCTGTGTCCTCCATGGTCGGAGGGATAAGATGCAGTCTGGTAATTGGCTTGGGTCGTTCCCCGAGGAGCTAGTTTGCTTGTAAGTCAGTTCTGCCGACCAGCCGAGGTATTTGGCAGAAATAAAATCCCCCATCTGTGTTGGGGCCACTAATGTATCGCATCATTGCATGTAGGTCTTGTAGCACGCATGCTGCAGCTTTGATCAGAAAGGCGCGGCGTTATACTTCATGCTCACAGCCAGGCCCAGATTCCCCACCCGGCCTCGGGGCGGCAGCGGTGTCCTTGTGGGGAAGTTGCCCTCTCTACATTCAGTCCTGCTTTGCACAAGCCGAGCTACATGTAGAGTGAGGCAGCCGAATGTTCGTTTACATGTGATGTGTCCCCCCCCCCTGCACTTACCTCTCTCCTTTGGTTCCGTCCTCCGCCGCGTCCGTCTCCTCACTGCAGTGAGCAGAGCGGCCGGGTTAAAAGTACCCCTGCCTCTCCGTGTACACAGTGAGGGGGGGCGGGTGCTCTTCCTCTCTCACCTGTCACAGGAGCTCCAGCACAGTACTGTGCTAGAACTCCTGTATTGGAGGTGACGGGTCAATAAAGAGAACCTGTCACCTCCAATTGCTATCACACACAGGATTGTTTTCTTCTGTGTGATGGCAATAAAGCTAGGTGGAAAAAAAAATGAGATTTGATTTACAAAACATTTTTTAAAAAAAATGAAATAATTAAACTAAAAAGGTGATTAAAAAAGTAAAAAATAATAAACAAATTATTAAAGAAAATAATTATAAAAAATAAGCAGTAAGATAAAAACATCATAACAAGTAAATAATATAAATAAAAATTACAAAAAATAAATGGATACAAAATAAATAAAAAAATAAAAGTGATGAAGTTAAAAACCTTTAAAAAAAACAGTAAAAAAGAATTTGACACTTCGCCACCCTGCCATCTGGTTGCCATTCTCCATTGATTGCGGGGGGTGCATCGCAGAACCTGGCCTTGGGGGGGCAGGGAGAGTAAATCTGGCCCTGCTCACAGGTGATGGTCCTTTTGTAGAGTACGGTTAAAGTGGAACTAAACTCTGCTGTCCTCCAGCAAATAAACTCTAAGCCCCATGGCAAACGTTGCCCAAATCTTTAAGAAATATTGACTACATGAAGAATAATGTGCTTGGCATGCACAGTGCTATAGGGTGCACCGCCCTTTCCCTGCCTTCCTACTTGGACGCCGTCATGTATTTATCTTTGTTCCGCCCATGGTGGATGTTGCTTGTCACCCATGTGCCGTACAGCTGAACCAAGCCTCACCTATGATCCATCTTTGCCCCGGTGCCGTACAGCTGAACCAAGCCTCACCTATGATCCATCTTTGCCCCGGTGCCGTACAGCTGAACCAAGCCTCACCTATGATCCACCATTGCCCCGGTGTTGCTAGTTGCATGAGCTGTGGGCACCTGTAGTCCTCATCCCATCGAGTCCCTCTGAGGATCTGGGAGCAGCAGGGATGATGGAAAGCAGAACAGACTATGTGCGGGTTTCTATCATATACAGTAGGGATGCACCGATACCGGTATTTTGGTACCGATAAAAAATTTTGGGTACTTACCGATACCAGTTACCGAGTGAAGGAAGTCCCATTCAGGAAGCCAGGTGGCGTGTAATGACTCGCCACCCGGCTTCCCGATTAACAAGAAAGTCCCCTCTTACCTTTTAGTATGTGCAGCCTGTCCCACCCCCCCCCCGGGGCCTCTCCAGCCAGAACGCGGCCTTCCTCCGGAGCCGCCTGGCCGGCCAAGCAGGAAGCCGGGCGCCGTGTGATGACGCGACGCCCTGCTTTCTGATTGGCCGGGAAGCCGTCTTCATGCTCCCTCGTCCCCTCATGACGAGGGAGCCGGGAGACCGGGCAGCGTGCAATGACGCGCTGCCCGGCTTCCTGATACCTGAAGTGCTCGGGTTAGGCATCGGAGCATTTGGGCGAGTAGGATTATTCACCCAAATTTTCGGAATCGGCAATGATATTGATACTAGTATCGGTATCGGTGCATCCCTAATATACAGAGTATCCTGGAGGACCTGGTTACTATGGTTATGTTGTATGTACGTTGCACTTTGAAATGGAGTTTCGTTCCTGTTTGAGGAGATTTGGTTTCTTCCTAAGCTGGGAGGTCCTTCTATGACATGCGTTGCCTTTGGTGGGTTCCTCTAATGTCTTTTATGTGGTTTTTGTCCTTCAGAACAATTCTTTGACCAGACCCACAGTCTACCTCGTCCCAGAAATTGAGTTGAAGTTGGGCAATAAATTGAAAGACATCGTGAAGCGTCATCAGGTGAGCGTCGTGTCGGGTTGTTGGGGGGG